ATAAACTGGTCCGACCATGCTCCAATCATTATGCTTTTGGATGAAATTATATCTTCTGCCCCTAACAGTTAATGGAAATTAGGAGACTATTTGTTAAACAACGTAGAAAATAGGTCATCTGCAGAGACAGTTTTGAATGATTATTTTCTGGACAATGTTCCAACTGAAGTTTCTGGCGATGTGGCCTGGAATGCGCATAAGGCTGTGTTAAGAGGCCATTTTATATCTAGAGCGTCTCACCTAAAGAGAATTAATAACGATAATCTGAGAAATATGGAAAAAGAACTATACAATCTGAATCAGGCAAACAAATCTGGCCCATCCTCTTCCTTATCAGAAATGATAGGAGAGATTGAATTTAAGATACAAAAAGTTAATCTGGACTGCACAACTCTTATGGTGAGACGACTTAGGAAAACATTTTATTTAAAAGGTAAATAGCATATTTGTTAGACGACCAGGGACAAAAAATATTTCACCCGACTAAAATTAGCGATCAATTTGCAGAGTATTATAGCAAACTTTATCATTTGGAATCGGATTCAAACATCACCCAACCATCTGAGGCAACAATTAATAGATTTTTTTGTCGTTGCCTCGACTGTCTTCTTATAATCTAAAAAACTTAGAGTGTGACATAACAGGTGAAGAGATAGCCGAGGCAATTAAACTTATGCCATCTGGAAAGGCCCCAGGCCCAGATGGATTTACTATACTTTATTACAAGACCTTTCCAGATATTTTAATTCCCCATATGACTAAATTGTTTAATTCCTACAGGGAGTGCAGAATTATTAGGCAAGTTGTATTTTTGAGGATTAATTTTATTATTGAACAACAACCATGTTCTCAATGAACCCAAAAAACTCATTAATATCAAAGCTGAATATTTTTTGGAAGTAGTTTTTAGTTTGTTTTTAGTTATAGCTATGTTAGGGGGATATCTGTGTGTGCAGGTGACTATTACTGTGCATAATTATTAGGCAACTTAACAAAAACAAATATATACCCATTTCAATTATTTATTATTACCAGTGAAACCAATATAACATCTCAACATTCAAAAATATACATTTCTGACATTCAAAAACAAAACAAAAACAAATCAGTGACCAATATAGCTACCTTTCTTTGCAAGGACACTCAAAAGCCTGCCATCCATGGATTCTGTCAGTGTTTTGATCTGTTCACCATCAACATTGCGTGCAGCAGCAACCACAGCCTCCCAGACACTGTTCAGAGGTGTACTGTTTTCCCTCCTTGTAAATCTCACATTTGATGATGGACCGCAGGTTCTCAATGGGGTTCAGATCAGGTGAACAAGGAGGCCATGTCATTAGATTTTCTTCTTTTATACCCTTTCTTGCCAGCCACGCTGTGGAGTACTTGGACGCGTGTGATGGAGCATTGTCCTGCATGAAAATCATGTTTTTCTTGAAGGATGCAGACTTCTTCCTGTACCACTGCTTAAAGAAGGTGTCTTCCAGGAACTGGCAGTAGGACTGGGAGTTGAGCTTGACTCCATCCTCAACCCGAAAAGGCCCCACAAGCTCATCTTTGATGATACCAGCCCAAACCAGTACTCCACCTCCACCTTGCTGGCGTCTGAGTCGGACTGGAGCTCTCTGCCCTTTACCAATCCAGCCACGGGCCCATCCATCTGGCCCATCAAGACTCACTCTCATTTCATCAGTCCATAAAACCTTAGAAAAATCAGTCTTGAGATATTTCTTGGCCCAGTCTTGACATTTCAGCTTGTGTGTCTTGTTCAGTGGTGGTCGTCTTTCAGCCTTTCTTACCTTGGCCATGTCTCTGAGTATTGCACACCTTGTGCTTTTGGGCACTCCAGTGATGTTGCAGCTCTGAAATATGGCCAAACTGGTGGCAAGTGGCATCGTGGCAGCTGCACGCTTGACTTTTCTCAGTTCATGGGCAGTTATTTTGCGCCTTGGTTTTTCCACACGCTTCTTGCGACCCTGTTGACTATTTTGAATGAAACGCTTGATTGTTCGATGATCACGCTTCAGAAGCTTTGCAATTTTAAGAGTGCTGCATCCCTCTGCAAGATATCTCACTATTTTTGACTTTTCTGAGCCTGTCAAGTCCTTCTTTTGACCCATTTTGCCAAAGGAAAGGAAGTTGCCTAATAATTATGCACACCTGATATAGGGTGTTGATGTCATTAGACCACACCCCTTCTCATTACAGAGATGCACATCACCTAATATGCTTAATTGGTAGTAGGCTTTCGAGCCTATACAGCTTGGAGTAAGACAACATGCATAAAGAGGATGATGTGGTCAAAATACTCATTTGCCTAATAATTCTGCACTCCCTGTATAAGTCCGGGGGGAAGATGCCAGGAGAGTTCTTGTGCGCACAAATCGTCACCTTGCCAAAACCAGGAAAAGCTCCAAACAGATGCCCTAACTTTAGACCCATATGTTTAATCAATAATGATTCGAAAATATATTCTAATGTATTGGCTAACAGACTAGCTAAATTGATCCCTTTGCTAATTAATAACGATCAAGTGGGTTTTGTTCAAGGTAGGCAAGCTCCAGATGGAACGAGGATGTTCATAAATTTAATCCAACACATCAATTTGACAAAAACTCCTTCTATGCTCCTATCATTGGATGCAGATAAGGCGTTTGATAGGGTACACTGGGGGTACTTGTGGAGTACACTGAGTAGGTATAATATACCATTGTCTTTTATTGATGCAATAAAGGCACTTTATGTTGCCCCTACAGCCCATGTTTCGGCCTCGGGTTTTCAATCAAGAACCTTTTCCCTTATTAATGGGACACGACAAGGTTGCCCTTTATCCCCGTTTCTCTTTGTTTTGGCAATGGAACCCTTGGTCGAACTAATCAGAAGGACCCCAGAAATTGAAGGCATTGGTATTAAAGGATCCACCCATAAAATTGGTCTATTCGCCGATGATGTTATACTAGCGCTTAAAAATCCAAAAAATCCCTGACATTTCTTAAAGAAATCTTACTCCAATTTGTGGAGGTATCCTACTATAAATTGAATGACTCCAAAACCCAGGCCCTCCCACTTCATATGAATAAATCCGATATAGTCACCCTAAAGTCAATCTATCCATTTGATTGGAGAAGTGAATATTTAGAGTATCTAGGCATTAACCTATGTAAAAACTTGTCTAATATGCATGCCCAAAACTTAAAGAAAGCATGGCCGGACTTACAAAGAGAGATGGAGAGATGGTGCGGGATGGAACTCTCATGGCTAGGGAGAATTGCTTCTATTAAAATGTCTATTCTTCCTAAAATGTTATATTACTTTAGGACTATACCTCTATCCATCCCATTATCCTTTTTTAATAAAATGCATTCAGTTATGTTAAAGTTCATCTGGAATTACAAGTCCAGCAGAATCAAGCTCACATCCATGCAGCACCATAAATCCCATGGAGGTATTGGAGTGCCAAATATCCGGAAATACTATTTTGCCACGAATGCTGCAGTGGTCGTTAGCTTCAATAGTCAAGTAAATAGGCCACGATGGATGGAAATAGAGGAAGCTAAAATTCTCCCATTCCATCTTAAAGAATTACCCTGGTTGAGTCCTGAAAGAAGGCCTGGAATCGCTAAATTATTTCTATTGACAAAAACTACCCTTAAAGTCTGGGATATAGTGTTTAAAAACAATCGCCACTCAGTGAAACTGTATAGGGCTATGCCGATCGAACTACTGAAACACTATATGGCCTCTTTGGACTCAGATCTGTTGAAGAAATACCACTTGAAGAATTTAGATATTTTTTTCCACGGCAATACTATTTTATTATATGAAAAATTACAATTTAAACATAGATTGATGAATGACTGCAAGGAAGAATGCATGGTGGTTATTGAGAAACTGAAAGAACTATATAATATATCAGACACCGATAAAAATTACAAAGAGTTAGAATTATCACCATTGGAAAAATTGTTTTTGCACGACCCAAATAGGAAGGGCACAATATCAATGTGTTATTTACTACATAATACCAAACCCACTGTTAAACTTAAGCACATGCTATCTTGGGAGGCGGAGCTGGGCACCCAATATGAGTTAGAGGATTGGTTTAGTTTTTTTAAATCATTAAAGGGAATATCTTTTTGATCTGACCATTTTGAAAATCATTTTAAAATTTTGTATCGATGGTACTTAGCTCCGCCCAGACTACACAACATGAACAACATGTATTCTGACCGGTGTTGGAGAGATTGTGGCGGTTTGTGAAATAATGTCCACATATGGTGATATTGCCCAAAAATAACCAAATACTGGAAAATGATTTATGACCTAATCATTAAGGTAGATAAAAACATTGGTACTTTCACATCTGAGCTTGCTTTATTCAAGAAATTCCCTGAGTCCGTCAGCAGAATTAACAAAATAATAATAGGCCACATTCTGATAGCGGCCACCTCTTGTTTGCCTAGGTACTGGAAATCTAAAGATATGCCATCACTTAGAGAAGTACTGAACCTACTCCTAGAAAATAAAGTGCACGAACTATCACATAGAAGTAACTCGTACCTCTTTGCACAATTGAAGTATGATTAGGATATGTGGGATGACGAAATTAAAAATTCCTATAATCTGTAACAATTTGTCCTATTGTTGCAATGTATCACTCAAATTGTATGCCTTATATATGCTGGTAGAGGAGTTTAAGATCTCTGCTAAAGATGTTTTTACCTATGTTAGAGTAAAACATTATTTGGAGAAGGTCGTGTTAGTTACAGAGGGTAAGATGTGCGATTTATTAAAATCAATCTTATCAGAATAAAATAAAGCAGCTGTTTTCTAGATGTGTTAGATTGTTGGAGCCACTGTATAGTTCTGTTCCTCCCATTGCTATTAAAAAATGGAATACTGATTTAAAAATAAATATAGAATTAAATGAATGGCTATCTACCTTTAACAAAATCAATAAATATGTCCACTCCTTTGTATTAATAGAAACACATTTCAAGATGGCTCAATGGTACATGGCGCCAACTAAAATATCAAAATTTGATACGGCTATGAATATTAAGTGTTGGAAATGTAAATTAATTACGGAATTACATCCATATGTGCTGGTCATGTAAAAAAGTGTTTGTGGTGTGGAAGTGGGCTCAGTATATTATTCATACATTTTGGGGTGTTAAAATATTGCCAATGGCCAAAATTAAATAAAATAGAACAATTTCTAATTACTCATTGTTTAATAGCTTGTAAAATAGTGATAGCAAGAAATTGGAAGGGAGACGCCCCCTTTAACATCAAGTTAATAACAATACAGTTGGTTTACCAACTTAGAATGGAGAAGGATCACTGCAGATTTATGAATGACAACTGGAACCTTTGGGATAGTTGGGAAAAAAAACTACTACAAATGTAATATCAATACCATCTGAATTGTGATAGAGGGGTCGGTAGTCTGGAGAACTCTCGTGGGGGGGGTGGTTTTTCTGTCTTTGTTCGTGTATATGAATGTTTTACTATTTTATGTATCAATGTAATTTTGGTGACAAATTCAATAAAAAGATTATTGAAAAAAAAAAAAAGAAGAAAGGAATTAAAGGCGACACACACCTAGAACCACAGGCTGTCAGCTGTCATACTGTATGTTCATAGAATGAGTCCATTGGTTAACCCAGTTACCACATTAACCACATATAATAATTCCTCCCATTGATCTGATTAATCTAGACATAGCCATGTTAAAAGGGAGAGATTAGTACATTGGACTTCTAGAACCCTACATGATTAACAACTAATGTAACTGCTGATAATTTGAATAAGGGTTAATTTATCTGGCTCTGTGTATGTTTAAAGGAACCATAACACTCTTATGTTACATTGGCCTGTTTGGATTTTCCAAGATTATGACCTTAAAATTTATGTTTCTAGCCAGTCCTCTGCCAGAATCAATCCCTAAGTAAATACCGGTGAGAAGTTGGTGTATTTCGTGTCATTGACCTAGATTAGCCCTGCTTCCTGACTACGTGTTTCTGGTACCCAGGGTTTTTAAATTGAGTTTTGATTTTTCTCTCCTGCCTGACATAGTGTGAACACCACTGTGGCTCCCCTGCTGTTTGCCGACCAGTTCCTGGAAATCTCCACCTCTCTTGCCTCCGAATATCTGTACGGATTGGGGGAACATCTCACCTCCCTCAATCATGACCTCAAATGGAACCGACTTACGTTCTGGAATCGAGATCTCATTCCTGCGGTAAGGAGTTGTGAGACTCCAGAATGTCTCTTCTAAATCCTATAGAGCAGAATCGATGGGATTGCCATCTATTCTCAGTCTCAATGTATTTTCCTTTAGTACAGTTAGGTACAATAGAAAAAATATCTGAATCACCACATAAGGTTTATAAAATTGATCTTTAATTAAAGAGCGTATTATAGGGAAATGCAAGTATTTGTGTAGAAGTGACCAGGGATCAAAGTGATAATAATGTGATTTTCTCTGTGTCCTGGTGATGTGAATAAAACTCGTGTTCTAAGTCATTCATAGTTCGTCTGTGGGTTGAAATTTATCTTACGAAACCCCTTTCACTCAAATCCTGCTCTCCCCAAAATTAGAAAAGAAAAATCATCAAGCTAATCATTGTAATTTACATCATCCTAGTTAGGGTATGGTCTCTTTAAAGGAAGGAATTATCAATCTCCCATATTGAACTATTCTCAAACCAATTCACATTAAAAACAGTGGTTGTAGGAAGTCTAGTGGGAGTGGGTAGTGGAAGTATTGTTAGATTGATGTAATGGGAGTAGGAATCCTGGAATAGCTGTTATAGAGAAGTGTTAGTGGATAGTGGGAGTAGAAGTCAGGGAGGAATGGGCAGGGGAAGGAGCATTTCCTGGTGACGTAGCCTGGGGGGGGGTTAATGAATTCTGAATTACTGTACACACAGTCCAGTCGTTGCCGCCTGGTCCGGGGCAGATCCGGACACATCCAGGTTTGTTTATGTAATTCCACCTAGTTAGCACTAAAACAAATCCTCCATCTACGGATAAGCTTGGACAGTTTACCCTTTGTATAGTAAAACTACTTAATGAAATTGCTTGTTCAAAGTTTAAGTTAATAACAAACTGCCGGTAATTGTTGACTTGTGTTGATTGTCTCTCTGTGACTCGTTTTTGGAAATACTTAGAACCATTAAATATTCGTCTCAGCGATTTAATACACAAACCGTAGAAATGCAAACAGAAATATGTCAGAGTAAGGGGATATGTTTGAATGATAGAAGATCATTTTGTTTTTCCTAAATAAAGGTCAGATCCAGAAGGGGAAGCAACCAAGCAGGGCCAATTGCAAGTAAAAGTGATGATGTGGCCAGCTATATAGTGGTTAACGATTAAATGATCGTTTATTTACATCACGATCAAGCTAAACATTATCAGACTGTTTCGGATTTAACCAAATGTAAAGCTACATAACTTGTGCTTGCTTGCAAATTGAATAGTTGTAGAAGCAGGGGAGGGCTGGCAGCCTTAGGCCTGGGGGGCAAATCCAGTCAAGTGGCCCATTGCACCAAGAGGTGAGTAAAAACACCTTTCCCATGTGATTGAAAGGGGGGGGGTTGGGGCAGTCACCTAAACAGACACTCAATGACAGGCACACACTAAAAAACTCACACTCACTGACAGGCACACGCACACACTCACTAACAGGCACACAGACACACACAGAAAGACACACTATTATAGGCATACTGACTAAGACAGACATACTGACACAAACACACAGACAAACTGGCACACACACAGAGACATACTTGCACACACACACACACAGACATACTGGCACACACATAAACAGACATACTGGCGCACACACACAAACAGACATACTGGCTCACACACACAGACATACTGCCGCACACACACAGACATACTGACGCACACACGCACAGACATACTGACACACACACATACAGAGACATACTGACACACACAGACATACTCATACACACACATACACCCAAACCTTACACTTTAAAAACCAGTAGACAGGGGCTGAGTAGGGGGACAGGGGCTGTAGTGGAGGGTATAAGCTGTAATTGGGGGTTTAGGAAAAGTAAGGGGAGGATAGGGGCTGAAGCAGGTTGATGGCTACAATTTGGGAAATGGGCTGTGGTGTGGGTGATATGGGTTGCAATTGGGGGAGTGGAGCTGTAGTGGGGATGTTATGGGGCTGTGGGGGCATGGGGCTGAGGAAGGGGCAGGAGCTGAGAGAGGGGAAAGGAGCAGGGAAATGGTTGGACAGGGGCTGAGAGGGGAGGACAGGGGCTGAGGAAGGGGGATAGGGGCTGAAGAAGGGGATAGGGGCCATGGGTGTCTCCAGTAGGTCTGTTAGCAGATCTCCCACCCCTCGCCAGAGTGTTTGTATTTTCGTGCATGTCCACCACATGTGCACGTAGGTGCCCCATTCACTGCAGCCCCGCCAGCAGAGATTGGTAGCCCCCAAGCCCATGCGGTATAATGTGGTGCGTGTGGTGTACCAGCACATCATTGTTTTGATCGCTTGCTCCTGGACGCCAACACTGATGGAAACTTTGGAGGCCGCTTCCCATATATGCTGCCACACCCCACTCTCTTGCACCTCCCCGAGGTCCGCCTACCACCGGTCCGTGTAGGTCAAGTTACCCCATTCTGCGAATTCGGAACTAATCTTGTTGTATATGGTGGTTATGAGGCCTTTGCTTCCCGGTTCCTGGTTGCAGAGCCTTTCAAAGAATGTTGGGGTTCGCTCTGCCGCCACTCTTACATTGCTTCGTGTCGCGAAGTCTCGCAATTGCAGGTATCGGAAAAAGTCCCTTGGCGCTAAGGGCTGGTGTAGCGAAGGAAACAAATGAGTGGTTTACGTATAGGTGTTTGAACCTCTGCAGGCCAGCTTTCTCTAAGCCAGTGAAGTCCCTCGCTCTGATGCCAGGTGGGAAGGCCCTATTTCTCAGGTAGGAGGTCATAGGGGATGGGTCCGAAGTTAGGGCAAGCTTTTTCTTAACTCTGTCCCATAAGGTGATAGACGTCAGTATGGGCAGTCAGTTCTAGGTAGAGCCCTGTGTTGTTTGTCCGTCCATATGTAGAACTGCGGGAGAGGCATATAGGCCTTTATGCTATGGGGTCCTAACCTTGCCCTTCCCAGGTGCAATAGTTAAAAAACTTATGAAAATAATCTGTGCCGAGTGTAAAAATAGTAAAAGAAAAGAAATGAATGTAACCATAAACATAAACAGTCGGGAACTGTGGTCTTTGTAAGTGTTGGTTTGGTGATCCTAGGGAGGATTTGGAGGACAGGGCTCAGCATTGTAGAGATTCAAGTTGCCCCTCTTGTATGCGCTGGACCCTGAGCTGTGCGGGTTGTAAACTCTGATATGGTAGATGGATTTAGCTGCGACAGGCCCAAGCTTCCCGCTCTCGCAGTATCTTCTAGGCCCAGGTCCTGCATGATTGATTGCAGCTCTGAGAGTGTTTTCACACGATAGTGGTGTCTAGGTGCATGAAGAGGAGCATCTTCAGCATCCTCCATCTGTATTGAATTTTCCGCTGGCAGAGGGTGAGTAAAAGTGGCTACAAGGCCATGCTCCATGTGATTGCACTAGGAGTAAGGTCCAAGAAGAACGACAGGGACGAACCCTTCAACAGGTAATCCTGGAGTCGTAGGTGCTTGATGAGGCTCCAAAAAGGTAAGGTGAGAGTTGGCATCTGCAATGGCTTCCTTGACAAAGGCCATGCTGTCCACAATATTCGTCCGAGGTTCCACCAGCATTAGTAGGTCTGTTGTGACCGGGTCTCCCGTGGAGGGAAACTTGTTGCTGTGTCCCGTCTGTGGTCTAGCTGAGGCCCTTTCCCCTGGGTCAAATGGTGTGTCGTCCAATGAGTAAGAGGATTCCTCTTCAGCCAACGCCATTTTGTCTCATATAAACTTTTAGGAACCACGCAGGAGTTTTCCTATGTCCCTGTTTTTTTAGCCCTTTATCTGCTCTCTGTTTTTTGCTTTTCCTCCCCATGTCACCGTCTCCCAGTGAATGAGGGCTATTATAGTCAGGTAAATGCCAGTTATCACCCCCAAAATGCTGTTGTAGTGCATTAGGACTCGAAGCACAAGAAAACGTTGAGCTGCTGGCTCTGCACCTTGTCAACATTTTTAATCACTCAGAAGCTCAGAAACACAAAATTTAAGAATAGACATGAGTCATTTTAACCTATGTTACTATGTAACTAATAATATATATTTTAAGAAAACCTTTGTCTATAAGGTCTGTGGTTTGATCCATTGCAGGTCACCAGATAATGTCTGACTGATTCGGATCACTTTTTGTCTCCTCAGAAAAATTCCAACTTGTACGGGACTCATCCTTTCTATCTTTCCATGGAGAAGGATGGCTCTGCCCATGGCGTCTTCCTTCTCAACAGTAATGCCATGGGTAAGTATAAGGTTTAGTTGCACTGCCAGTAGGGGTAGATGTGATTTTTCTGTATTAGACAAGTCGATCACAATATAATTAAATGGACATTCTAAGCATCATAACATCTTCACCATAACGAAGTTGTTACAGTGCCAGGAGGTCTTGGTTTTATCAAACTTGCAAAGACAGCTCCTATTCACTCTACTCAGATGATGCTCCCAACCTGTCGCTTGCTCCCCATTTATAAACATGAGTGAACAACTGTAAGCTCGTTTGAGCAGGGTCCTCTTTAACCTATCGTTCCGGTAAGTTTTCTTGTAATTGTCTTAGTTATAGTTAAATCCCCCTCTCATAATATTGTAAAGCACTACGGAATCTGTTGTCTCTATATAAATGACAATAATAATAATAATAATAATAACAAGGTTCCTCCAAGTTTGTAAGTCCTAAATGGTTTAAGCTCTTAAGGTGAGAAAGCATCTGTGACCTCCTGGCAACATAACAACTTCATTAGATTAAGTTGTTGTCTTGATGCCTAGAGTCACCGATTAATGACCATGTAATCTCCTTTATATTTTGAAAATACACTGGTTGGGTATTTGATCAGTATTTTTTCAAGTTTTTTAATTGTTTTAATTACTCTAGACTTAATCATTTGAAATCTGTCACTTACTCCCCCCACCCAGACCTTTTTTCTTTCTCCATTTTTAGCTCCCTCCATCTAGTGGACCTGGCAGTCAAGGGTCCCCTGAAATTCTTGGCTCTTAAAGGGTTTTACCCACTTTACTCTTTAGTTCCAAATTTATGTTTATTTTTAAACAATTTAGCACATTTCTTTGAATCGGGTTATCAAAGTGCTTGCATGGCCAGGAACAGAGTTCTGATTCTTTCTAATATAGAAAGTTGATATCTCTGATTCCCAAAGTATATATGACTGTTCTGTATCCTATTTCTAGATGTCCTGTTGCAGGAAGCTCCCGCACTGACCTGGAGAACCACAGGAGGGATCTTTGACTTTTATGTTTTCCTGGGGCCCGAACCTAAATCCGTGATCCGACAGTACCATGAGGTCATCGGTAAGCGCCCCATAACCACTGGATGTCTAGAGAGACTGGAGAGATTATTATGATCATGGCATGATCAGTACCACAGAATTTTGTCTGTGCATGGACAAGAGATAACAGGAAGGATGGATGAACAGTTGAATGAATGGATGGATGGATAGATGGACAGATGGGTTTTTGTCACTGTTCCATATTTTATATGTATGTAGAACTTATCTCAGTCTGCTGCTGCTAGCAAGTCCTTATTTTCTGAGATTGTAGTCAAACGTCATAAGAAGAGCATTCACTCGGTGTAGGACTTTCTTTGTGCAACAAGCTTTTCATGGACTGAAATCTTTGATGTGAAACAGATTACAATGTGTTTTTGGAGCTAGTTCTACCATTCAAATATCACTTCATTACCTTCATGGATTAGCTGAATCTAATATAAGAAACGCATTGATACACAAACTAAAAAAAGGTTGAAAATTCTAGAACTTTATAGGACTTTACCAAATAAATGTCATTTATTTCATAAAGTAGAGGTTAATGGGTATTTGAGGATAACCGACTCTCCTTGCAGGTTTTCCTTTCATGCCACCTTACTGGGGTCTTGGATTCCACCTGAGTCGCTGGGGATATACATCGACCAAAATGACTCGGGAAGCTGTGGAAAACATGACAGCTGCCGGGTTTCCTCTGGTAAGAGGGTCTCCCAATGCTCAATATGTCATAACATTATTACCCTGGCTTTCTGGGGTAATTTCATAAACTAGAAATAATTCATAGACACTGAAAGGCTGCATCTTGACAGTGGAATTTGTAAACCAAAAATAAACCATACATAAAGCGGAGAGCTGTGTGAGTTTTATTTCACTTATTTTTATGTCTGGTTTATTATATTCAGTGAGCGCGATGTGTTTTCCATTTTATCTTTTGTAGATCGCTCTGCTTGCCTTGTGTTCAGCTACTGTGTTAAGTATTATATGTGTGTTCACATTTTTTGGGGGGTGTATTATTACTTTTTACTTTCACAATTACTACAGGTGTGTAAATGGGATACACCTAACAATACACCCCTCTTTTTCTATTTTCTTTATTTGAAGCGCCAACACACTTTGCTCTATCTTTAACACCAAAATAAATGTCAACGAGATTTATTCCAACGTTTCTACCCAACTTCAGGGTCTTTGTCAAAGACCCTTTAGTAGGGTCAAAACGTTTCCTGGTTCCACAATGGTGGAATAAATCTCTTTGACATTTATTTTGGTGTTGTGGCTCATTATTGTGTTTGTTTTTTTAAACTGTATGTTAGATATTGGGTGGAGACTTTGGAGATTTGCACCCAAATACCTAGTAGAGTGCTGGCCCTCCCTACTGTTTTGTATCAGTGATGCTGATGTCAGAACAGAAAATATTCCCAATTTGGGTTTAATCGTGAGGGCCACATTTCTTACTCAATTGGTACTCCGTAGACCAGCTTGTCTTCCACCTGGATGACTTAGAATGAAAAATATTTCCCCCGGCCAATGAAACATGCACGCTGACTATATATTTTTTTCTAATCTACAGCTGAAAAAATGTTTAACACTACAGAGACAATGTAACATTAAAAGCAATTGTCAAAAACAATGAATACAATTGAGTTTTGCATTCAGGGCTTTTGGTGTCTCCATCAAAGCAGCTTTGAACAAGCATAAACGGACCCTTTACTTGTCCAGAAGGTCGAAAAACAATACAAGCAATTTTAAATAGTAGTCTGGCAACAGAGGGAACTGAAAATTACTTTTAAAAAAAATATGATGAATGCTGAACGCACCACACAGTAAAGGATACATAGCGAAGTATCGAGCACCAACATGTAATCGCAGGAGAGGGGGGAAGAGAGAGGAGAAAAAAAAAAAATATAACCGTAACCTAATAACAAGGCACAAACACCACCGGGAAATGAGGCAATTAGTAATCTGGCTAGGTACGCAACAAAATACCTTCACCCAAACAGATTCTAGTACCCGAAACTAAAACAGACCAAAACAAAGGTAGAACTCACAACAAAAACATGAAGGGGCTAGGAGACGCATCAAAAAGTGTAAAAAGTGTAAAATGTGTAATGTGTAACAAAGTTAACAAACCAACCGCTGTAACCTGCAACTTGTACCCTGCACCCCTCCCTTTATCTTTTGTACCCCCTTACCCCACCCATACTGTTTTGTGATATGCAATTGACTAAACCAAAACACGAATAAACTTCAAGTTGTAAAAAAAAAATAAAAAAAAATATGATGAACGTCAATAGAACTTTGAGATGTTCTAAAATGTAACCAGTTGGTACCTCTTGTTAGTGGATTGTATTACAGAAGATCCATGACTTTGATTACCAAAAGAATTGTCAGAAATATTCCTTTGGTTCTAATTAGTCTCTACAATACCCACTTTAACACTTACTACTCCAGAATTTCCTTTAACTTTCCTCTCTTTTATTTATTATAAGTCACACACAGAACATGGTGCATGAATCTCCTAGATGCTGTTTTTGGTGAATAGGGATTAAGCTTGGTCTTCATGTAGAATCTTCACCTTTGTGCACTACTTTTTTTTTAATATCTCCTTTTCATGTTGTTTATAATGTTTCTACTTTTCTCATCTGTAATGTGTCTCCTTTATTAAAAAAAAATATTATTAAAAGCATAAGCAACATTAGTTAAAGTATGTGCACGTATTTCATATGGATTTAGTTTGTGGAAGCAGGCCGAGGAGGAGATGAATCGTTCTTACTGTTTCTCTGTCTCCAATTAAGGACGTCCAGTGGAATGATATCGATTACATGGACAGTTACAGGGATTTCACATATGACCCGAAAAACTTTGGCGATTTTCCAGAAATGGTGAAGGAGTTCCATGAACAAGGAATTAAATATGTTCTGATTGTGGTGAGAATCCAGAATCTGGTCTGTGTGGGCGCAGAGTGCTTTGTGGTTTATTTGAATATTCATGTATTAAATCCCACTTCTATTTGACTCCAGAAAAACAAACATTGTAATGTCTGAGAAAGTGTTACATTTGCTCCATACTAGTGGGAAACTGAGATATTGCAGTGTTTTTCACCCATTTCTACCACCACATTTCAGGAGCCAGCAATCAGTAGTACAACCCCTCCTGGGACGTATCCTCCATACGACGATGGACTGAAGAGAGGCGTGTTTGTCACCAATGAGACCGGGGAACCCCTTGAGGGCAAGGTAATAACCTAGGAGGGCACAGAATTTCTAATGGTGGCAATTTATGAATCCATGTCTTTTTAGTTATAGTTCCCATACTAGTCGCTGTAGTGAGAAAGCATTCTGACACCTAAAAAAAGAAGTAAAATGCTTATATGGTCACCTGTACAAATGGGTAGGGCCACTACCTTAATCACCTGGTTTAAGAACTAACTTCAGTTTGGAAGTTCTTTACCAACTTTATGCAAACTCAATGAGGTGAAACGCACTGAAATTCTATCTGGCGGTTTCCTCTATCAGGAGCCTGCGTCCATGATGTGCACTTGCGCATGCACAAGAGTATTACTCTCATTGTGTACATTATGGAAGATTATGTGTGATCTTCTCCAGATGACATCACAAACTCACAATGTGAGGCTGTCGTTAGATACTTTAACAGTGTAAGAGCTGAAAGAGACAGAACGTGGTGCATACAAGGACACAGCACAAATAGTCCTTTCTTTATCTCATGTTTGCGTTCTGGTTGTGTTGATATTTCAATAAATTTTCTCTATTTACATGTTTTTCACGTTTTCTATTCTTTTCTATTTTTTGAAAATGTTAAAAGTGGCATTACAGCTTTAAAACAATAGAATTTATTATTTTCACCATTGTGTGGTTCTTTCTAAATGTCATGGCAGTCTCCTATATTTACAGAATTACTGGTTCAGTTATACTTTCTATAATACTTAAAAATTGAGTTACTTTTGTTTTTTAATTTTGACCATTAGTTTTCTATTTGTATGCTTTTTCCATCCTGTGTAAAAATAAGTTTTCGGTTCATGCTTTGTCATTCAAAGCCACTGATTGTTCTTTGTATAAATCAATTCTGGGTCAAAGTTCTGGATGGGAAGCCGATGGAATGTTACTGCTGAACCACTTTTAAAGCCTTTCCCCATTAGCTATCTCAGAGGTCCATTGCCCCTTAGAATACATACGGTGACTCACCTGTAGTGATCTCTGCGGTTGCCAATCCGATCCTGGTGGCCCTTGGTAAAAACTTTCACTCATTCTGTATATGTATCCATTGCCCAGGTCTGGCCAGGTCCCAACGTGTACCCCGATTTCACAAACCCAGAGACATTGGATTGGTGGCATGACATGGTAAAGAGTTTCCACGACCAGGTGCCTTTTGATGGGATGTGGCTAGTAAGTAACCATTCTCCTTGCATTCTATTGTGTAAAGTTATAGAATCTATCATCTGATCATATATGCAATAGCCGAGATCAGACGAAAAAAAGAGAGAACATTCAGTGAAATCAGCCACTATGATTATATTGTGCGTTAGAGATTACTTAGCCAATGTATGCTCAATGAGATAATGGCTGGGAGGCACGCATTGTGTCAACACGTCGTGGGGACCGTAGCAGTAAGAGTAACTACCTGGGGGCGACAGAGATATATGAAAGCAGAGAATTATATAGCCACATGGGGGCAGGAATGTGATATATGGCCACAGGAGGTTGTTAGAGAGTTATATGACCACCCTCGGGTAGCAGAGAGACAAGTGACCACATGGGGGCAGGAGAGAGATAAAAGGCAACACGGGGGCAGCAAAGAGATATTTGGACACCTGGGAGCAGCAATAGATAAATGGCCACATGGGGGCAGGAGAGAGATAAATGGCCACACTGGGGACAAGAGAGAGATAAATGGCCACACTGGGGCAGCAGAGGGATATATGGACTAGGGGGAGCATAGAGATAATTACCCAAACAGAACTAGCAAAGAGATAAATGGCCACATGGGGGCAGCAGAGATATATATATAGCCACACAAGGTCATCAAGCAATAACAAATAGTTGGAACAAACTATTACTAACCTCTAAGTTCTCAGAATCAGTAACAAAACTGTAACTAAGGGAAAATCACACCGAAAATAACTTGTGCTAAAAATTTAACTCTCTAGGCAGATACTGCTACCGACCTGAGAACAAATCAGGTAAAGTTTTTCTGTATAACTCGGGTATCGTAGCGCAGATATACACCATGTTCTTCATTTCGTTGTTGTTTTTTTTAACAGAAGGTATTCCGATCCGTACATTTTTTCGGGTACAGTTATATTTTTCCCCGTGAGAAGTCCATCACTTTATTTCCCTGTGTGCGTCAGGCACTGACATTGTGGCTAAAGTGACCTCGCCACTGGTTTCTGGAGGCCTGATTGCTCGCCTTTTGCCCCAGGATTGTATGGCCCTTTAAAACTGTTATTGGGGAATATTGACACTTTTGGGAACAATGCCCCTTTAAGACTGTGTCCCAGACCTTTAAAATACTTGGTTCGTGGCTTTTTCCTATTTGGTTCGGTAAATGGGGCTTACCGAACCAATTACTGTATAGGCGGACCGCACAGAAGGAAAGTGTGCGGCTAATTTACCTCCCAGGCTGGCGGTTAACCGCAGGTTAATTGCCAACTGCTGGGTGGCCTTTGTTCATGCAGTCGAAAACGTGGTGGCGGCCATCTTTGTTGGTCGAGCGTGGTCAGCTGTGTGTGCAGCCATATTCATGGAACTAAAATTGGCTACACATTTTCACGAACACCGCTGACCCCTACCTTCTCCTCCACTTAGACACTGCGGCTGAAAACTAAGTCCCGTTCGACAATTTGAACACACAGTGAGACTAAGCTATATGCACGAACGGTGCCCCGTTTGCGCATTCGAATGGGACTTAGTCATTTTTCTGAGTGAAATTGACTGACCGCACAGCCAAAAACTATGGAACTGATTTGGGCAGGAAAGCATGCTTGCGGTCGGTCAAGAAGGACTTCCAAATAACTTTTTAACCCCTGCAGGGAATTGTATGATTTTTGGATATGTCTATATTTGAAGTGTGCCGATTAATAATATGTAACTTTTATGGAGACTGGATGTATATTTTTAAAGTTATAGTAAATGTGTAAAAAGTATATTTTTCCTGCCTGTGATAATTATGTTAACCCATTGTGTACAGTAATTATATCATAGGCAGAGGGGAGGATTTTGTGGGAATGAACTGTGGGAGTGTTTAACTGTATTGGACATGTTTGACTGGCTGTTCTACAAACCCATGTGGGTGGTAACATGGTGTAATATGATATGTATAAAAGAAGCAATAAAACCACAGCTCTGTCTGTTCCTGCTTACTCTCCAAACCGTGTATCGTCCAGTTATTGGAGGGAAGAATATTTGCTTCTGTGCCTGCTGTTCCAGCTTGCAGGAGACTCAACGGGGAAAGTCCTTGTAAGGACTAGAGCTAATTCCCTATTCGGTTCCAGAGTGCTCAGGACTGAGTAGCGTCCAGTTCCTGGAGGTGTCTGCTGGAGTGCTTGGAGCCCTCAGGAAGCGCTAGGAGCATCCTTCAATGGAGGTACCCAGTCGGGGTGCCATATGATCTGTTACAGACATTAAATCATAGATCATACCAGTTTGTGACGCAGGCATTCTTGGGCCGCAAGGAGCTTGTGGCCATGTGATCACGACAATAGCATTGCTCCTAAATACCCAAGGTTTTCAGAAACTAAACAACATTGTGAACAGTTTGCAAAACCAACCAAAATAGCAACAAATTTTGTGCGAGATAATTAAAAAAAACTGGTCAAAGCAGAAACTGGACTTGGGTTTTTACTATGTAGTGGTTATGGTGCATGAAGTGTTCCTTTACGTCAGGTAAGACATGACAACCTAGGGTCAGCCGCTAGAGGGAAGTCTTGTCTAGCCTTGTTGTAACTGCTTCTATCTCTATCACAGGACATGAATGAGCCTACTAACCTTGTCAATGGCTCGCTGGACGGCTGTCCCCAAAATGATTTGGAAAACCCTCCATATGTCCCAGGTAAATCCTGGCCACTTACCGTATAACCATAGCTACTCCAGGCATGATGTGAATATAAAAATGAACTATAAAATACATTGTAACATGTTACAGTGAAACAAGGGTCATGTTGGAATGATCTGTATGTCAAGGGTCAAATCTGGCTGTTAAAGGCTGTGTTTGCTTTTAACTTGTCTCTGGTGTCTCCATAAGTGGGACACCAGAGGACAAAAGGGCCAGGAAAACATATGGTGCATGTGTTTGGAGCCTGCTTGTGGGATTGCATGTGTGTAGAATTAGCTGATTGTGGTGTGGTATTGTGTAAATAGGTTGATTTCATTTGTGTTTGTGGTGTAATATGTGTGGCTAAGGGCTGTAGAGAATGTGTGTATAGGGGGCATAGTGTGTATAGGGGATGTAGCGATTGTGTGCGTATGTAGTGTGTGTGTATATAGGTGACGTAGTGTGTGTAGGTGTTGTATAGAGTGTGTGTTTAGAGAATGTAGTATGTGTTTGCTTACAAGGAATGTAGTATGTGCATAGGGTATCCAGAGTTTGTATGTCAGGAATGTACTGTGTGTGTTGGGGATGTAGTGTGTAAAGGACCGAGAGTGTGTAGAGGAGATATTGTGTGTGTGTAGATGAATCAGAGTGTATATATGGATTGTGTGTGTGTGTATGTGTAGAGGATTCAGAGTGTTTATAGGGACTTCGGTGTACTTAGCACTTTACAGGTTACATTACAGTAGAGGAAGGTACAGTAAGCACAGTAGGTATACAGTGTATGTATATTTTATTTATATAGCGCTAACAGGTGTACTCAGCACTTTACATGTTACATTACAGTAGAGGGAGGTACAGTAAGTGCAGTCGGTATACAGTGTATGTAAATTTTATTTATATAGCGCTAACAGGTGTACTCAGCACTTTACAGGTTACGTTACAGTAGAGGGAGGTACAGTGAGTGCAGTAGGTATACAGTGTATGTATATTTTATTTATATAGCGCTAACAGGTGTACTCAGCACTTTACAGGTTACATTACAGTAGAGGAAGGTACAGTAAGTGCAGTAGGTATACAGTGTACGTATATTTTATTTATTTAGCGTTAACAGGTGTACTCTGCACTTTACAGGTTACATTACAGTAGAGGGAGGTACAGTAAGTGCAGTAGGTATACAGTGTATGTATATTTTATTTATATAGCGCTAACAGGTGTACTCAGCACTTTACAGGTTACATTACAGTAGAGGGAGGTACAGTAAGTGCAGTAGGTATGCAGTGTATGTATATTTTATTTATATAGCGCTAACAGGTGTACTCAGCACCTTACAGGTTATATTACAGTAGAGGGAGTTACAGTAGGTATGCAGTGTATGTATATTTTATTTATATAGTGCTAATAGGTGTACTCAGCACTTTACAGGTTACATTACAGTAGAGGGAGGTACAGTAAGTGCAGTAGGTATGCAGTGTATGTATATTTTATTTATATAGCGCTAACAGGTGTACTCAGCACCTTACAGGTTACATTATAGTAGAGGGAGGTACAGTAGGTATACAGTGTATGTATATTTTATTTATATAGCACTTACAGGTGTACTCAGTACTTTACAGGTTACATAACAGTAGAGGGAGGTACAGTAGGTATACAGTGTATGTATATAATATTTATATAGCGCTAACAGGTGTACTCAGCACTTTACAGGTTACATTACAGTAGAGGGAGGTACAGTAAGTGCAGTAGGTATACAGTGTATGTATATTTTATTTATATAGCGCTAACAGGTGTACTCGGCACTTTACAGGTTACATTACAGTAGAGGGAGGTACAGTAAGTGCAGTAGGTATGCAGTGTATGTATATTTTATTTATATAGCGCTAACAGGTGTACTCAGCACTTTACAGGTTACATTACAGTAGAGGGAGGTACAGTAAGTGCAGTAGGTATACAGTTTATGTATATTTTATTTAAATAGCGCTAACAGGTGTACTCAGCACTTTACAGGTTACATTACAGTAGAGGGAGGTGCAGTAAGTGCAGTAGGTATACAGTGTATGTATATTTTATTTATATAGTGCTAACAGGTGTACTCAGCACTTTACAGGTTACATTACAGTAGAGGGAGGTACAGTAAGTGCAGTAGGTATACAGTGTATATATATTATATTTATATAGCGCTAACAGGTGTACTCAGCACTTTACAGGTTACATTACAGTAGAGG